GAATTCGGTTTTGTGAAGCAGGCATTGATGCATAACAATGAAGTGTTCCCAGCTTGTCAGAAAACAAAATGAAACAAGAGAGGCAGGGAAACTAAAAATGAGTAGTTTTGTGAAGAAGACAGCTATGCATGAAAATAGAGTGTTCACAGCTAATCAAAACACAAAATGTGACATACATACCAGGAGTTGGACAATGAAACTGAGGCAATGGCCAATTTAGTATTGGTGGTTTCATGGCCAGCCTGGTGGCCAAGCTTCATTGATTGCACATTATACCAGTAAGAGCAGAGTCTGTTAGATATAGTCATTTGGCAGGCGTTTTTGTCCAAAGCTACTTACAACTGAGGAGACATTTTGCAATTCAACAAGAAGAGGCAGTACACACAGGATGTGCTAATTTTTTAAGGAACTGAGAGATTTTAGAAAATTAGGTGCTAGAGTAAGAGAGAGAGAGAGTGTAGAGCATACTCACACCTGTGTGAAGCATACACAAATGCATAGTGTATTTTGTGTATTCTCTGTGATTGTGTGTGTATTCTCTGTGTTTGTGTGTGTGCACGAGTGTGCGCGCGTTTTCTGTACGCATGTTTGCACTTGTTCGCGCGTGTGTAAGAATGTGTCTGATGCAAATGTGCAAAACAAGTGTCTGAGAAAGATAAAAGACTGTTTTAGTTGTCATTTGAATGATATTAGCAAATCGACAGCCTGTGTGTGAATGTGTGGGAAAAATCATTCCACCAGCATGAAAACTGAATGAAAATGTAGTTGATAAGTTCTGTTTTTGCCAGATTAAGCTGTAGGTGATGTTATTTTTTTTTCTGCTGAGATGTCCTCCAGGCAGTGTGAGATCCTTGCAGCTACTGTTGGGTCATCCAGTTGAAATGAAAGATAGAAATGGGTGTTATCGGCATAACGATGATAAAAGAAACCATGTGATTGGATGATGGTTTCAGTGATGTGATGTGTAAATGGAAAATACAAGGGGACCCAGAACAGATGCCTGGGGAACCCCTGTGACTAGCTTTGCCAGTGAGGTACGACTCCAACCAGCAGAGTTCCCGTGATGCCCAGTGAGAAGAGGGTGAATAGTAGAATCTTATATTTCACCATGTCAAAATCAGCAGACAGGCCCAGTAAAAGCAGAATAGAGGATTTAGAGCCTGATTTGGCAATCCAAAGGGCTTCATTGACCATACGGCTTATTTGTTAAAATGTGGACAAATTTGGTTGAACAGCCTTTTCCAGTGTTTTGGTATGAAACAGAAGAGGGAAAGGGGGAGAGAGGGAGAGTGAGGTTGAGAGTGGGAGAGAGAGAGAGAGAGAGAGAGAGAGAGAGAGAGAGAGAGAGAGCCACCATGATGGCCAGGAAAATGTAGAACAAAGAACAAAGTTTAAATACTTCTTCCTTTGTATAGAGGAGAAAGGAAGAGAGTGAATTTTCTTCAGAGAGTGTTGTTTGATTTAGATTTGGAATGGATGTGGTGGGAAATAGGCTGTTAATTTATTAAACCTCCTAAATAGTTTGTGTCCAAAGTTTTGTTTATTTTGTTATGGTATAGGCTTTTCTTCTCACTATTGCCCTGAACAGAGATTTAGCAGAGTAATAGTACAGTTTTTATTTTTTTAATATTGCTATGCACACAACATCATGTGTGACTTTTCAACTCTGATATGAAGAAAATTGTTGGTGCACATCTCGCTGGACCATCTGTGAACAAGACAGCAAGTGATGTATTACGAGTCAAGGTATCCAGGGTAATGTCAACAAACCACCAAGAAGGACAAAGCACATATAACAGAAATAACTGTGGATGCAAGAGGAAGCTGTGAGAAAGAGATGCCCAGGTAATAACTCAGACTGTATCCAAGAAACATAAAACCACAGCAGCCCAACTCACTGCATGATTAAGTATGCACCTTAACTCTCCTGGTTTCCACCAAAACCAGTTGGGAGCTCCACAGGGTAAATATGCATGGCTGGGCTGCTATAGCCAAACCTTTGGTCAGTTGTGCCAATGCCAAAAGTCAGTTTTGGTGCCAGCAGTGAAAATACGGGGCTGTGGACAATGTAAAAGATGTCTTGTTCTCAGAAGAGTCCACCTGCCTGACCTTACACACATTTAGGAAACTTAGGATGTGGAGAAGCCTAAAAAACATACTATTCAGTTTGTTGCATGCTGAGAGTGAAGCATGGGAGTGGCTCAGTGATGGTTAGGTCTGCAGTATCATGTTATTCCCTAGGCCCAATACTTGTGCTGGATGGGCACGTCACTGTCAAGGACTGCTGAACCATTCTGGAGGACCATGTGCACCCAATGATTTGAACATTGTATCCTGATGAACAAGCATAGTTTGATAAACATGAAAGTAAAGTTAAACATCATCCAAAGCGTGCACAGTAACAGTGGAGTGTTTTGGAGGAGCAAGTTGGGAAACGTTGGCCACCACAAGCAACACAGTGACCTGGCCACTGTTCTGCAAGAAGAATGGCTTAATTCCTTTGACTACTTGTGGCCCTACACCACACTAATGACTTGGTCTTGGACTTTGACTATGGTCTAAAACCAGGCTTTTCAGTTTCATTGGCCAACAATATACCATCCTGAAGAGACATAAGGGCTATTTAAATAAAAAATTTTGATAGTCTAATGTGTATATTGTGAAATTTGCTGTGTATTTTTGTAATAGGACAACAAACATTACATCACATTAAAGATGAATTGATAACTCACCCAAAAAAAAAAACACACACATTAAAAAGATTTTTTGAGAGCTAAAGTGGCAGTGTGCCGATTTTCTTTGGATCTTTTGCTACAAATGTTTGTTTTTTGATCGAGCACCTGCCTTCAAGATTTTCTAGATGTGCACACATTTCTGTTTTTTGCAAAAGCTGAGATTGAAATTCACATCTGGTTCAAGATGATTTTATGATCTGTAGTAAACAAACCCCCAACTGAAGTTTTTAGTGCATTTGGAGTAAAAACATGTTTGCAGGCATAGAGCCACAGTTCACAGAAAACCTATTCAACATATGCCATTATCACATAAAGATTATCTTTGCAATCAATATTGGGAAATTAAATCATCAGCAATTTATTGTGTAGCTTGTTATGACTTTGTGCAGTAAATGTTGCTCCATCTAATAGCACAAGCTGGAGACATACTACTGATTAGACAACTGGCTTTACCGATTAATCGCCCACCCCATTGCTACACAACATATATCATTTTCACTTTTAACTGTTAAAATAATAATGTATTATGCATACCTCACACTACATACTGTGCATGATGTATAATGAACATTACGCAGTGTAAGGTATTTCATTCCAAAAAAAAAAACTGTCAATAACACAAAAAGATACACCTACATAGTTCTGTATGAGATCTGGGTGGTTCCTCTCAATACCGTCATCTAGAATCGTAACCACCACATCCTTCCCTGTGTAGCCTCTCTTCCATGCACCCACAATATTCATGTCAGACTGACAGTTATGCATGTTATCATTACAGTGCTGCAAAGACACAGAGATAAATACAGTTAGAGATTTAATAGCAGAATTCAGTAGAATAAAAAATATAATAATAATAAAATGAATCATGCATACTGATATCTGCCCTAATTCTTCAGAGGCTAAGGATTTTTAATTAAAGATTAGCATGTTTAAGTCTTTAAAAGCTTTCCCATCAAAAAGACATGGCCATCAAACATCAAAACATCTAAAGGCTAAGACATGGATGTTGTGGAATTTTTGTTACAATAAATAAATGTCATTATCTACAATGGAAAAAAAAAAAACATGTACTGTGCTTTCTACAAAAATTTAAAGCTACATTCTTTTTTAACATTCTACATTCAACATTCAAAATTACCATATTAGAAGGATTTCAGAAGACTAGAGTGATGGCTGCAAAATGTACATTTTACCATCACAGAATTGTTACATTATTTTTTAATAATAAAACTTTTTTTCAAACTGGAATAATATTTATATCTCTTGGCCCTTTCTTTCTAGTTTAGTGAAATCCACCCTTAGGTGACAGCAACAGACTTCGATCAAAAGAAAAAAAAAAAAACTATGTAAATTACATTTGGGTCCTCTAGACAGCAAATAACAAATGAGAGACCAAGTACAGTCGATTTATACACACAATAGTCATCTACCACAGCTCAATGCTGATCAATGCATGCTATTTGGTAGATCACAGTTAGAGTAAAATTCTGTGAAAAGTTCTCAGCAATTCAGTAAATTACTGCGCATTTTCTTCATGCAGTAACAAATAGTCATATGAAACCAAATGTACAACAGCATTGGGCTTCGAACTGGGATAAGATCACATCCTCATGTCAGGTTTGTTTGCTCTCAACATACAACAAAACAGCCCTGAGCCAAATGGATGCATTCAGGTCAAAGTGTTGATGTTATCTGAGGAGTATTAATCATTGACAGAGCTTTAACAACACATTAGCCTGGGTGCGGCACAGAGCACTCACAATATTCAAACAAACCAGGATACTGGGGTCAAACACGCCTGGGCACGGTTTGGATAGCCTAGTATGAGTACACCCTAATGCCTAGCTCACACTACAGTATTTAAAGCCCAATTTGCAAGTTGATAAACTTGACTACAGATTGAATGGTTCAGGAGAAACTGCTAGTGCATAACACTCAGCTTCTTTATGTATGAACTACTGAATGACACAAAAAGGCTTGCCGACTCATTATAGACACCTCGCAAATGAAAGTCCAATATCTAGCATGCTAAATATTACAGACCAGTCAGTCGACTCCCACTTGTGGTCAGATGTAGCCAATGAGAGAGCAAGTCATAACAGAATGGTCATCGATGCACTCACTTTACCCTGTGTTTACACAAACACAAGAGCATATTAAAGCCAAAGCTATCCGCTCAACCTTGCAGATATTCGAGTGATCAATACGCTGATGCATCAGCTGACTAATGATGCTTTCAAACACTCCCTTAAATGCTCCCACAGAGATTCAAAGTTCAATATATTCAAAATACTCAGAAGTTCAAGCTTGGTTAATGATGACTGCAAAATTAAAAAAAAAAAAAAAACATGAAAAAAATCTATTCAGAAAAAAAAAATCGAATCTGGGGACACAGGTATCTTTTCCCTTTAGCATAATGGAAAATGATAAATCAGATTCAGTTTAAAGGTCCAAAGTTTCACTACCACCGATAGCATTTTGAATCAGGGACCGAACACACCAAATGCATTTTTCTGTTGCACAGCAGCACACAAAACGTCTGCATCCTTTAGAAAAAGATTGATTCAAAAAAGGTAATTCTGAATGCAGTAAAGGTTTGATCTGTGCCTAAATCATGTTTAAAAATATATATAACACTTTAAAAACCTGATACATTTTAAAACAATATAAAACTAACTTTTTGATTTTATTATTTAATTTGCTGTATTAATTAATACCCAGCTGTTAATAGCAAAACCTAAGTGTATTCATTAGAATTTGAATTTAATCTGGTAATACTGGATAAAAACAGCATAATAGTATTCATTCCAACAATTATTTTGCATTAGAAACATTTTCCTTTCTGCAATAACCTTGACCCTAATTATTGTGGGTAATAAGAGAAAAATGTATAAAAGTATATATATATATATATATATATATATATATATATATATATATATATATATATATATATATATATATATATATATATATTCAATTAAGAATACTCACTATATACCACATACTGCTCCATTTAGCATCATTGAAGAAAATGGAGTTGGGCTGGCCCATACTGGATTGAACAGTACCAGGATATGAGGGTTTATAATCTCTCTTTATTCTCCTTTTTACAACCTGCTGTTGCACCCACTCCACCTGAGAACAGGGGTGAAGAGATTATTTAGCAACTGACAATCAAGTTTCATTCAGCTTGGTAAATAAATAAACAACATATTACAGTATAATAACTAAAATATAGTAAAGATAAACATCAAGAAAGTTCTGTTTGTTTATTAAAATAAAAGGCACAAACACTATATATACACACATTTCAGTTTTTTTTATAGATAGCTCACCCAAAAATGGAAATTCTGTTATTAATTACTCACCTTCATGTACTTCCAAACCTTGGACCTTCATTCATCTTTAAAAACTCGAACTAAGATTTTTTTTTTTTGCTCTCTGACCCTCCACAGACATCAAGACAAAATAGCCCATGCCATATGCCTTCAGTGGTTCAAGTGTAATTTTTTTTTTTTGTGGACAAACAAAAACAACTTCTCTTGAGTACCAGTTTAAGATACCCATTAACAAGAGCGTTGTGCTGTGCCCACAATTTCCAAGGTAAACATGCACCATTAAATGACACTGAAGAGAGGAAATTGTTGAATTAAGACATTTTTTTATTTGTTTTTTGGACATAAACTGTTACTAACTTTTTAAACGGGGTGTAAGATTACCTAAACATGCTTTGACATGATTCATTTAGCAGGATTATTTGCAAATTATGCACAAAATACAAATATACATATATATATATATACATATATATACATATATATATATATATATATATATATATGTATTTTGTGCATAATATATATATATATGTGTGTTTATATATATATATATATATATGTGTGTGTTTTTTTTTGTATTGGTGATTTCATACCTTAAGACAGTGGTTCTCAAAGTGAGGTTGTGGGACAATGAAGGGGGCGCTTTTATAGTTACTAAATACTATAAATACTATATAGTTACAATCGTAGCTTATAGTTACTAGTTCTATTGGACTGCAACCCTTGGGGTAATTACATTATATTAAAGACACAGCAATAGCATCAGATGCAGCAGATTGATATTATAGTGCAAGGTTAAACTTTCTGGCACATTTACAGTACTGACATACATTTAAAAATTAAACAAATAATAAACTTGGGTCTGTTGGTGTGTGTGTGTGTGTGTGTGTGTGTGTGTGTGTATGTGCCATTGCATGCAAGGTTTCTGTATTTATAACCACCTCAGAGGGTATTGGGGGTCGCGATTCCCTGGCATTGTTATTTTGGGGGTCGCGGGCTGAAAAGTTTGGGAACCCCTGCCTTAAGAGACCTATCCTGGCACACCACATATCTAAATACATGAAAATAAATAATAATAATAATTAGCTAAACCCACAGAAGATTTAATTTATTTCTGAATGAGTAAGAGATGACAGTTTAATTTGTTAAACTTAACAACATGTTCTAAAACATAAACATCTTTGTATGTATGTGTGCTATTTAATTAATAGCGAAACAAATACTATAGCTGGTGGCACAAAGAACAACTTTCACTTTCATACTGTGTCCTAGTTCACACTGCCCACCAAGACAGCATTTCTGCATGTAAACTGTATTTGATGACAACGTGTCAATATAGTGCACTCACATGCTCAAAGCAATGACTAGAGTTTATTTGCTCAGTCTAAACTACAGCTAAAAAAAATCACTAGTTACTATGGCTGAGAAGATGCTGCATTAGGGTTAGGTAAGTATTCTTTAGCTTTTTATTCCTCAACCAGTTCTGTGGTTTTGTGTTAAAGCAGTCCTAGACAGCATTTTTATTAACAGGATAAAATGCATAGAAAAATCTCTGAGAACTGACGAACAATAGTCAATCATTACAGTCTGCATGAACTGGAAGCTGCAACCATTATTTATTTATTTATTTTTATATTGTGATGCAGTTCCTAGAAAACAGAATATTAAATGAGAAAACAGTGGCTGTGGCTTGTTTTTTTTATTGCGAGCTGATTAAATGTAGTAAAGTAATCAATTGATTTAGGAAGTTCAGGAAAAGGGTTTCAAGAGAGTTCTTACAACCTAACAGACACCTCCTTCTCACCATTTCTGTTTGTTGTCAGAGTTCTGTCAAAACTGACAGTTGAAGGGACATGGTTAAGTGTAAACCACGCCAAAAACCTCAGACAGACGTAATCTCAGAATTTAACTGAAAAGAGACAGTAATTGAGATTTCAGGTTTTATTTAAAAATTAAAGGGGCAAACTATTTTTTTTCTTAAAGTCACAGATGAACTGATCACCACAAAACTAGCAGTGTGAGCTAACAAAATCAAAATGGTTAGTTTTGATTTCATGTGTACTTTCTTGTTCTTCACATAAATCATTACAGACTCACCTTGGGGAGACATCACATTGAGGCTGTTTACATTGTTGTTGTTGTTTTTTTGTTTTGTTTTTTAAATCCGGAATGTTACCTGCAGTTATACAAAGCATCCTTGTGACTATGGAGCATTTGATGACAATTGAAATGTTTTAGCTTTAGTAAAACACAAATTTTTGAACACTTGGGCATGGTTGCACTCATTCCCTCCCTGGTTGGTTTATCTAGGCTAGGGCATTCTATATTATCGAAGTCAGATTTCGGTTTAATTTCTCTGTGAATAAAGACTTTTCTCTATGTTTTTTGTGGGCTGAGGGTGGCAGGTAGAGGTGCATAGATTCACTGAGGGTAAGGATCGCTATGAGCTAAGGACCTCGGACCGCTATGAGCGTATTGTGGTTTCAAACCGTAGGGGGCATATCTTGTTTTTAGAGGGGGGGGTAGTTTGAATATGGTTACATCCTTATTTATGAGCAAATCCATTTGCTTCCTTTGCATTTTGCAAAAGTTGTTTTGATTGCAATTTAAGTTTTAGTTATTGATGATATAGACCAAAGAACACACAGGTGTGGGGTTGTCATAGTTACAGCCTGACCTTTGGTTCCATGGAGATGAAGCTGTGCATGCCTCTGCTGAATAGTGTCGATCTTTTTATTGTCCGACTGTGGAAGAAATGGTAGTAGTCCTTTAGATCACCAATCTACAGAAACAAAATACAAAACAATTTAATTGCAATTGCAATTAATTGCAATTTAAATTACTGCATTCTAAATAAATAACCATCACAAAATAGCTATATAGCTACAACAGGTCAGGAAACCAGAACCCAAACGTTAATTTAAATATTCATTACTCAAGAGGATATACCATAAACTGCCTGCATTAACATTTTATTCGAATACACGAGTATTGTTTCCAAACTAAACTGATTAAAACAAACATACCTAACGGAATTATTATATTATCACTGTCTTGCTCCTGGGAGGAAGACCAAATTGACAGTTAATCCTACATAAATAAATCCTTCTGCAAAACGTGGTTTAACAAACTGAAACATTACAATTAACAGATAAACACGCTAACATAAAAAGTTGCATAATTAGAATATCACGTTAGTTATGAAACATGAAAGTGTATCAAGTTTAGCATACGCGTAACATGCTTACCATGTCATGAGTAACTTACTGCCGAGGCTAACGTTAATGACTTACTTAATTTATCATTGTTTTAAGTAATCCTATAGCGTTTATAACTAATAAAGAAACGTATATAGATAGGCCTTACACGATAGATCGCAGTTTCAAAAACACCTGTTGTTGATAAATCATTTTTAGACCGGTTTGCTTGTTGGAACAAACTAAGATTTTATTTTGAAAACTGACTATTCTTGAACTTAGAACGACTCTTAAGATAAAACGTTATTAGGAAAATGTAAGTCTTTAAAACCAAAGTAAAGCCGCTTGAACTATTACAACACAGCATGTAACGTTACAACTCTAAAAAAAACTTGTGTATAACGCTTACAGCCTTGAGGTTTGAACTTCAATCAAAGTGATGATACACTTGAACTGGGAGTAAAGAGCACAACGTAAGCTATGATTAAAAAAAGATAAACAAATTTATTCAAAACGAACTTTAATGAAAACGCGTACCTGGCCCAGGTTTCTATACCCATATTTGTTGGCGATGTGTTCCGCTTGTTCAGGTCCACCGGCTATCCGAACAGCCCAGTGGTTGGTGTAAATCCGAGCTTTACATGGAGTAACGTTAGACGAAAAAAAAATCAAGCACAGTGAAACCAGGACGCACGGGAGGTTATTTAAAACCATTTTTCGCCCCCCCTCTCTCTCGCCTCGATTTTCCCCAGCACCCCCGGTTTAGGAAAACAACCAAACTTCGTCTAGCCGTTCAACGGGGATTCTCATAGAAGTGTCGCTTGAGCTCCACATATACTCAGAGGGTGAGCACAGTATTTGGATACGAATCTCCGAATGTTTCACTCTGCAGCGCAACACCCGTACACCCTCCAACGCCACGGAGAGAAAGACGCAACAGTGTGCTTGCCCAGCTTTGACTTGATATGCTCTCTCAATGGAGTGCCGTTATTTCTGTCTTTTTTGTTAAGTAAAGATGTGACTATAGCGCCTCCCTCAAAAACTACAGAAAGAACGGACAGCGAGCCGTTTGGGGTTATCGGGGTTCCGCAGGGTCTTAAACACACACCGTGTTTTATCAAAACAAATCCGTCTGTGTTGGCTAATGAGAGATCCGTGATCCTTCTGTGTGATATTACACTTTTGGTTTATATTTTGTCTATATTTGTGTGCAATCACTGTTTAATGTTGTGGTCTAAACTACAGTAAAGTTTTAAACAAAACACACATTCAGCAAAAATAGTTTTAGTGTTTCATCAGTAATGGGACACAGTTGGTATTGACCTTATTCTGCAATCTGTAAGTAAGGTTGTTTTTGCGATTTAGAACTTCTGATTCAGTTACCTATGGAATGATTAGGAATAATAAACAGGAGAAAACAATCCAACAACTTGCTCTATAAACAAGTGCTCATGACTAATAAGAAAAGATAGATTTGCATTATAAAGCAGCAAGCTGTTTTTAACATCTAAAAATGAATGGAAGTGAATGAGACCGGAAGTCTTGAGCCAAAAACACTCCAATGGCTGTGCTTGCTCTTATGTGAAGAATAAGGTCAATAGACACGTCTAAACAGCTAGCTTGGGGTCGGTGGAGGGGGAGCTTAAGCCATATAGTTAGTTCCCCAATTAAAATTTTCCAGCACTGTTGAATGTCAAAGAATAAATTTCAGACTTTTTCAGCAGTAGGAGAGTGAGATGAAAATAACTAACTCCTCCAAATCAACAACATATATTCAAAACAATTTTTCTCAGAATTGCAGCCTTGTTCTTTGCACTATAAATACTAGGATATGTGCCTAAAACATTTAACATTTAAACCTGTTATCAACCCAGCCTATTAAGCCTATCAAGCCTACCTTTATTTATTAATAACACACCCTAGGTCTGAATGAATGAAATATTCTTATTAAATGGTTTATTCTTTACATAGTTGAATTTTCTGACCACAAAATAATACAAAAATTATCTATGAATTTAAAATTGATTAACCCATGGAGGTCTGTATTTGGAGTCACACTCAAAACTGAAGTGGAAAAAACACATTAAAGGCTAAAACAACTTTGATGCAATGTCCTTAAAACAACTCAAAATGAGGCTTAGTAGTGTGTGTGTGGCCTCCACATGTCTGTATGGCCTCTCTACGACTGGGCATGCTTTTGATGAGGTGGCGGATGATCATCTAAGGGGTCTCCTCCCAGATCTGGACTTAAGCATCTGCCAACCCCTGGACCATCTATGGTGCAATGTGGTGTTGGTGGAGAGAGACATGATGTCTCAGATGTGCTTAATGGATTCAGTTCTGGGGAGGTTGGCCAGTCCATAGCATTATTGGTGTCAGAGGTTTTCTCATAATTCAGTGACCTAACTGTGTAAGCTGCTGCCAACCTAACCCTTACAAAAAATAACTGTAGTAAACTGAAGTAAAACTGCAGTATAACTGCAACAGCAGTATAACTGCAGTAAAATTAAGTACACTTGCAAACTTTCAATACAATGAAGTTCAAATACAGTACAATAAAGTTCAACAGCAGTATAAGTTGCAGTAAACTGGAATATAAACAAGTAGACTCCATCTTTATTGCACTTGTGCTGCTGTAGTCTAATATGTCAATGGCAGTGGTGGTAAGAGTACAAAAAAATTGTACTCAATTACAAGTAAAAGTACTGGTGTTAAAAAGTACTCAAGTAAAAGTACAAATTATTCTTCATAAAAACTACTCAAATTACAAAATTACAAAGGACTTTTTTAGCTTGGCGGTATTGGTGGAATTATCCATAAATGCGGAGTCAGACAAGATCCAGGCAGTAAAACACATTTTACATAACACATTTAAAGATACTATAAACACTTTTAAAACTGTGTAAACAGTATTAATTATAGATTATAATTATAGAGTACCTATAGAGGAAACCCACGCCAACATGGGGAGAACATGCAAACTCCACACAGAAACACCAACTGACTCAGCCAGGGCTTGAACCAACAAACTTTTTGTTTTGAGGCGATAGCGATGCCCACTGCGCACCATGATTATTTTACAAAAACAATGTTTTGCTATTTTGAGTATAAAGATAACAGAAAATATGCACAAATGCACAACTTTTTATCATTTCAAATGATGCCTCTTTTATCTGTACGATCAATAGATGATTTGATATAAAAAAAAAAAACACTTGCAAATTATGGAGAAACTTTGTTAATTACAGAATTCGCGAACTGAACCGTGAGAAACCACAGAACAACACTGCCTAGTGCCTAAACATATTATTAATAAATTAAACATCACACAAATTAAGTGATATGTCTTCTTACCATAATGTTTTTTTTTTTCAGATTATAGACTGAAGTCTTGTATAAAAAAGGTTTTCTGCAGATATCATAATGTCAAATTTAAGACTTTTTAAGATCTCTTTAAGACCATAAAGTATTAAATGTAAGACCTATATCACAATATTAAAAGCATGCAAGAGAAAGTGCAAAAACACAAAATTTGTGGTAAAATAAAATTATTTAAATAGAACAGTACTGAAGACAGGTTAGATGCACCATTGAAGTGCAGGAACAAAAAAACAAAGAAACAAACATTTTGAGGCTAATTTATACTTTCGCCTGGCTCCGCATTGCACACCTCCGCTGACTGTACACGCACCTCATGAAATGGATGAGGCTTTAATACTAGACGCGTTCGTCGTTGTGATATTCTTTAAAACATCACGGGCCAGTCAAAAGAAACCTCACTGTAAAGTCAGACGGATAAACAGAGAAGTAAAACGTTTCCAGAACTACGTCATATCTTTAATATTGTTCAAGATTTTAAAAATAAATATTTTTCATTATTCTTATAATTTATTATGATTACAAAGTTGGGTGACAGGGTGGGCAGTGGGTAGCGCTCTCGACTCAAGGTAAAAAAGGTCGCTGGTTCAAGCCTTGGCAGGGTCAGTTGGCATTTCTGTGTGGAGTTTGCATGTTCTCCCCGTGTTGCGTGGGTTTGCTCAAGATGCTCCGGTTTTCCCCACAGTCCAAAGACATGCATTTTAGGTGAATTAGGTAAGCTAAATTGTCTGTTGTTGTAAATGAGAACGGGTTGCAGCTGGAAGGGCATCCGCTGTGTAAAACATATGCTGGATAAATTGGCGGTTCATTCTGCTGTGGCGACCCCAGATTAATAAAGGAACTAAGCCAAAAAGAAAATTAATGAATGATTATAAAGTTTTATAATTATTCAAGATTTTTAAAATCAAAGTTTGATGCATCACTCAATTTTTTTATATCTCGGACAGTTCTACCTATTAAAGTTAAATATCAATGACAACAGAACATGGGTTACGCTACAATTATTATTTTTTTATTCTGGCAAGAATAATAGCAAAAAAAAAACAATTTTTTTTTGCCCACTCAACAATTGACACATTATTGTCTGGCTAGTTTCTGTTCTAATGAGCTGAAAAGGCAATAATGGTCCAACAATCCTGTCCATCATCACCAATAAAGCCTAAAAATTGGGCATCAGTATACTGTAAGCCGATGGGTTCATATATTATTTTCCAGTTATCAAATACTTAATTTGTTACTTAATTTTTGTTACATTGCTTTAACTTCAAAATGATACATCAGTGTAAAACCTATAATTGGTGGAAAAACATATTCTGTAATCTTAAAACCACCTGGGTCTCCACTTTTGCCATGGCCTCTTTTTTGTTGTAACAATTTTATCCCCCAGGTTTTTCCAAACTTTAACAAAACACTTCCTTTCCATGGCTGTTGCAATTTCTAGCCAAGAATTATTGGTCATCTGGTTATCTCTATGCTGATCACGAATGGTCGGATAGTTATATGTCAGTACAGTCGTATTGTTACAGACAAAATCTCTTCAAAGTGATTCAAATTCAACTCAAATCAAGTGGGCGCAGCGCAAACTGTTCACCCGAAATCATGTCGCGCGCATCCAAAGTGAACCTCCGCAAACACGGTGATGACGTCACATTCGCCGTGCGCACTGAGCTATTGCATACTGGTCTTATTTGTAGTTTTAATACTGCAAATTACAATAGGACTAGTGAAATAAAGAACTACACCACCACGAAAGCAACAACAAAAAATAATTTAAATGAGCATTAGGAGTAGCGTTACATGTACATCGGAAAAATAAGACCTGTGCAAACTAGGGTTGGGCATCTAAGCTATAATGCCGATCCGATACGCATCTCGATACAAAGAATACGATCCGATATATTAGCGATACATTTGTGACATATTGCGATGCAACACGATACGATTCACACCCATATCACGATACGATGCGATATTTCAGTACTAACTAATTAGATCAAGTTTATGAGATGATGTGAAAGAGGATGCTGTGCCATTGAATGAGTTTGATTATTTATAAACCAAGCAAAACCAAGACTTTTTTTTAAAAACTGGCTCTTCTCTCAGAGCCAGAGTGTCAGTTTACAGTAGAGGGCCATTTTAGAACATATAGCACATATTATTTAAGTATTTTCAAGATAAACAGAATGTATAAGTGCAATATATATATATATATATATATATATATATATATATATATATATATATATTTGCACTCTTTCAACATAAAGGTTTGTCATTGCACAACAAGAATTGTGATTTAACTTTTCAACTATGAAAATATGAAAACAAGTTTTACAAAGATATTTTGCCACTGATTATTCAAAACTTAAGGTCGTGAACTAGCAGTGTTATGCTGCTTTGAAACATCACTGTCACTGTAAACAACAGGATAATAAAAATATAACAAACCAGCAATCTTCTTGCTGTGAGGTGGTCAAACTACCCACTGTGCCACCGTGACACCCATTATTTTT